CTGCTATTTCTAAAGCTGTGAGCAGAGCAGCAGCATCCTCTGAGATTGTTTTGCTCAGCATAAAATAACGAAAGTGGCATGGCTTACCCCTCTCAAGTTTGCTGTCTTTCCTCTCTTCACATGATCCCTTGCATATTTGCAGTTGACCCCATCCTTATCTATTTCTTGTAAGCATCCATGGACTTTATTCTTGCATCCCCCTTTCAAAAGCAGCTAGTGTCCTCCCAGATGTCTGTGAAAGAGGTCCAAGTAGCCCAAGTTTTGTCGCTCTGGTGTGAAGCCCTTGCACAGTCTCACCACCCTGGGGGACAAGGTGCTCTGAACGCAACTAGCTTGTAATTGCTAGGTCCACGTTTTGGTTTGGTATTTTTTATTTTTACCTTCCTTCATCTGTCCCAAGGGCTGTCTGCAGCAGGGCTGTCTCCCTACAAAGCTGCAGGCAATGCTGGCAGATATTTTGCCTGCGGTGTTTTTGCTGACAGGTGATACAAGGTGTAATGGAGGATTGGAGATGAGGCAGCACCCTGTGAGTGCAGCTTGCCTGCAGTCATGTGCAGTTTGTTTTCCCCACTGCAAAGCTCAGGAGAGCTGAAATGTAGATGCTGGGGGATCCCACAGCAGGGCTGTGTGGGTGGTGCAGTGCAGAGCTGACTTGCTGCACAGCTGGACACAGCTGATGGTACAAGGCACTGATGACCCCACTGGAGTAAGAGCTGCCCAGGCCTGCTCAGGGCTCAGGAAGAAGTGCTGACTGGGACTCTCCCTCTCTTGGCAGATTCCCTCCGTGTCCTGGCAGGATGTTGGTGGACTCCAGGAGGTGAAGAAGGAGATCCTGGACACTATCCAGTTGCCCCTGGAGCACCCGGAGCTGCTGTCACTGGGTCTGTGCCGCTCTGGTCTGCTGCTGTATGGGCCTCCAGGGACAGGGAAGACCTTGCTGGCAAAAGCCGTGGCAACCACATGCACCATGACATTCCTTAGGTAAAGAGTGGCAGGGTCACACAATGGGGCTGACTTTTCTTCTGACAGTGGATGGGCATGCTGTAACTGACTCCCTCTTCTCCTGCCTCACAGCGTGAAAGGGCCAGAGCTCATCAACATGTACGTTGGGCAAAGTGAGGAGAACGTGCGTAATGGTGAGTAGATGCATCCTGTTGCTGCATGTGGGAAGGTGGGGCTTTTCTGTGGTGCTGGAGGCAAAGAGGTAGTGCTTAAACCCCCCTTGCCGACTCCCACCCACAGTTGCCAGCAAGGGTATGAACTTGTCTCCTACACCCAGTCTGTTCCCTGCCTCACTGCAGCTTCCCCTCCTGCTCTCGCTGCTCCTGTTGCTCTTGTCTCTGGTGTTTCTGATGGAACAGCAGCCCCTCAGAGACACAGCTGAGCCTCAGGGCCCACCGTGCTTGGTGCTGCCTGTTCTCACTGCCACTGAGCCCCTCAGGCAGGCACAGTTGTTGGTGGTGAGGCAGTGGGCAGCTGGTTTCTATTCACAGCTCTTCCCTGCTGGTGATGTAGCAGGTCCTGTTACTGTTGACTGCTCTTCCAGGTCTTTCTCACTTTCTGTGCTGTTTCCTCACAGTGTTTGCCAGAGCCAGGGCAGCTGCTCCCTGCATTATCTTCTTTGATGAATTGGATTCCCTGGCCCCCAGTCGTGGACGGAGTGGAGATTCAGGGGGCGTCATGGACAGGTCAGTGAGCATCATGTGTCCTTGGGAGAGCAGCATACCTGCCTTAGCTGGAGGAATGCACAGGATTGCCCTGCAAGGCAGAGTCCATCCCATCTCTTTCTCTACTTCTTCCCTCCCTGCTCCCTTCAGCTCCTCTGTATGGCCTGTCTCCTCTCTCTGGGAAATAGTGCTGCTGTTTGCACTGCCGCAAATTCCCGATTGCCCAAGCTTGTTGTGCAAACATTTGGTTAAGACAGAGTTTCCTCCAGCTGCTTCTGTGGCTGCCAACTGTTCCCTTTGGCCTCTCCAAGGTCATCCTTCACACCCCTGCTGTGCTCTCCTCCTATTACCTGTTGTTCCCCTGTGGTGGGAAACCTTTCAGCTGCCTCTGGTAGAAGCAAAGTATGTACAGCTTGGAAATACCCAGAAACAGGGTTATTTCCCCCAGGCCTCTTCTGCTGAGCTGATAGTCCCCATCCAATCCTCCTCTCCATCCACAAGGGGTTCTGCAGAGTTTTCCAATGACACCATGTGTTCCTGGCATCCATCTTCACGCACATGCAAACCAGCAGCTCTGGAAGGGGATGGGTATGGTGCTCACTGGTCACCTCAGGTGATACCAGAACCCGGTGGAGATATCCCTATGCCAGGAGGTCTGTGCAGCACTGAAGTGTTGTGCTGCCAGACCAGCTTAAGCCCCATGGCTGCAGAACCAGATCTGCAGTGTTAACCATTCACCACCCTGAGGACTGCTTGGCAGCATCACTGGTCTGCCAGTGTGTCCCCGGAATGGACTGACGGGGCAGTCTTGCAGCTGAACTTGCTGGGCAATACCACATAGTGGGGAGAGTTAGGCTCAGCCAGCCCATCTGAGTGGGGAACCTCAGCCATAGCCATGTGTGCCTGATTATGTTTGGTCTGTGTTGCCAGTGTCTGATAGCAAGTATAAGCATGTGTGGCCATCCTGGAAGGGTTCAGAGTCAAGCAGTGGCCCAAATGATTTTCTTGCTACCAGGGGTTGCACTCACTTTGCAATGAGCCCACGCACTCACTGGCTGCGCTCAAACAGAGAAGTCTGGATGGCTGTGTCAGGACTCTTCAGAGAAGAGAAATATGAGCTGAAGTCCCAGACAGACCTGCCTATGGCCTTGCTTATTCCTCTTCTCATTTGGTAGCTGAGCATGACAGAGGGTGACTTGCCATGGCCTAGTTGTGAGTGTCCTGTCTTGCTCCCTGCAGAGTTGTCTCACAGCTCCTGGCTGAGCTTGATGGCCTTCATTCCACCAGAGAGGTATTTGTCATTGGAGCTACGAACAGGCCCGACCTCCTGGACCCAGCTCTGCTCCGACCAGGCAGGTATGTCACATCATATCCTGCCTCACTCCAGGGTGGTTCCCTGGAGCTTGTCAGGTAGTCATGAGCTGGACTGTGTCCCACCACATTCCCTTCCCAGAGACTGTTCCTAAAGCCCCCCAGCCCTGGCCTACGAGGGAGATAGGAAGCCTAGAGGAGGCCAGTGCCTATGGCTGTATCAGCAGCACAAGCCACCACTGCTGGGCTGCTGAGCTGATAGTCCCCATCCAATCCTCCTCTCCATCCACAAGGGGTTCTGCAGAGTTTTCCAATGACACCATGTGTTCCTGGCATCCATCTTCACGCACATGCAAACCAGCAGCTCTGGAAGGGGATGGGTATGGTGCTCACTGGTCACCTCAGGTGATACCAGAACCCGGTGGAGATATCCCTATGCCAGGAGGTCTGTGCAGCACTGAAGTGTTGTGCTGCCAGACCAGCTTAAGCCCCATGGCTGCAGAACCAGATCTGCAGTGTTAACCATTCACCACCCTGAGGACTGCTTGGCAGCATCACTGGTCTGCCAGTGTGTCCCCGGAATGGACTGACAGGGCAGTCTTGCAGCTGAACTTGCTGGGCAATACCACATAGTGGGGAGAGTTAGGCTCAGCCAGCACATCTGAGTGGGGAACCTCAGCCATAGCCATGTGTGCCTGATTATGTTTGGTCTGTGTTGCCAGTGTCTGATAGCAAGTATAAGCATGTGTGGCCATCCTGGAAGGGTTCAGAGTCAAGCAGTGGCCCAAATGATTTTCTTGCTACCAGGGGTTGCACTCACTTTGCAATGAGCCCACGCACTCACTGGCTGCGCTCAAACAGAGAAGTCTGGATGGCTGTGTCAGGACTCTTCAGAGAAGAGAAATATGAGCTGAAGTCCCAGACAGACCTGCCTATGGCCTTGCTTATTCCTCTTCTCATTTGGTAGCTGAGCATGACAGAGGGTGACTTGCCATGGCCTAGTTGTGAGTGTCCTGTCTTGCTCCCTGCAGAGTTGTCTCACAGCTCCTGGCTGAGCTTGATGGCCTTCATTCCACCAGAGAGGTATTTGTCATTGGAGCTACGAACAGGCCCGACCTCCTGGACCCAGCTCTGCTCCGACCAGGCAGGTATGTCACATCATATCCTGCCTCACTCCAGGGTGGTTCCCTGGAGCTTGTCAGGTAGTCATGAGCTGGACTGTGTCCCACCACATTCCCTTCCCAGAGACTGTTCCTAAAGCCCCCCAGCCCTGGCCTACGAGGGAGATAGGAAGCCTAGAGGAGGCCAGTGCCTATGGCTGTATCAGCAGCACAAGCCACCACTGCTGGTTATCCCTTACCGCTGCTCTTGTTGACCCAGCAGCATGTTGACCCTGCCATGGCAGCAAACTGACAGGAGGAATTGGTCTTCCAGGGCCTCTTCTGCAGAGCTGCCCCCCAGCCTGTCCTCATGCCCATGGCTTGCCCATCAGGGGCAGGACTTTGTATCTGCTGTTGTTGGACATCGTGTGGTTCCTGTCAGCCTGTTTCTCCAGCCTGCCCTGGTCCCTCTGAAGAGCAGCCCTGCCCTCCAGCACATTGACTGCTTCCTCCTCGTGCTTTGTATCATCTGTGAACTTGGCAGCGAAAGGCGCTGCCCCAGGGCCACCCTTCAGTTTCCAGTACACAGGGCTGAGCACCAGTGGCAGGTTTGTCTTGGCGTGTTCTCGACTGTCTCTTCTCTCTGCTGACAGGTTTGACAAGCTGGTCTATGTGGGCATAAATGAAGACCGGGAGTCACAGCTGCAGGTGCTGAGTGCCGTCACCAGGAAGTGAGTGACCCTGTGCTCTCACAGCAGCCTTCCACTACCCTCTAATGGGTCACAGCCTTCCTGGGGTTGATGCATAGTGTGCTCCAGCTTGGCTTCATGTCTGAGCCCTGGGGAGCACCTGAGTCACTGACCCACAGCTAGCAGGTAGGGGAAGAGGATGGGGCAACTTCCAGAAGCAGAACTGGGGCTGGTTTTCCTACAAGATGGGAGCAGCCCAGCTGGCTGTCTAAGTGGACGGATTGGTAGAGCTCTCCAGTCACCCATGCCCACATGCTCTTCTTGAGGAGCTCAGCCAGATCCTGACAGTGTGATGGGACTGAATCACACCAACATCGTAGGAAGCTCCCATTTGCGTCCTTCCAGAGTTCCCCTAGCACATCTCCTGCTGTTTCCAGGTCTAAGGGTGAAGGCAGCTCCATTTGTCTCACTGCCTCTCCTCCTGCTATGCCGAGGAGTGTTCAGCCTGTGCTCTGTGTGTCTTTCCGAACACTGGTTGTGTGGGATCACTGAGCAGTGGGGTTTGGCTGTTTCCCCAGCTGCTTGGAGCTCCTGAAAGCATCTCTGGAAGGAGAAAAGAAAGCCCTGCAATTCAGGTGCAGAGGTATCACCCATGACAGCTGGGCGAGCAGCTGTGAATCTGCCTCTGCAGGGATTGTGTCATGGATCGCTGTGATCACTGCAGCCTTGGACGATAAGCTAACAGGAGAGGCGAGAGCATGGGCTGGCTGCGAGCGTCTTTTCACACCATGTGGCTTGGCAGTCATGCCCTCCAGCACCATGCTGCTGTTCGTGCTGAAGGAGGCTAACTGTCTGCAGTGTGGCTCCGATGGGATGGTTTGGTGTTACAGTGGTTTGTACTGTCTGTAATTAAGCAAGTCCTTATCCAGCCCTGGCTGTAGGCTGTTCCCAGGCATGTGGAGCACTTAATTTCTCTGACAGAACTCAAAGTTGCCTTTGATCCTACTTAGCAGGAGAGAGGACCTTGCTGTGGGGATGTTTCAAAAAGAAGTGATTGCACTGAAAAAACAAACAAACCCCTTTGATTTTTTTTTTTTTTTTTTGTGAGCACTCAGAGCACAGTCCAGAAGCAGCTAATTGTGGGGCCTCTGATTCCTCCTGCCCAGTCATGCTGGCTGCCGTGTCTCCTGGTCTGTTTTTTCTGTGGCTTTTACACCTGCAGTTTTCTCTGTGGCAGGTTTAAACTGGATCCTTCTGTGAATCTCACCACCATCCTAGAAAAATGCCCAGCTCAGCTGACAGGAGCAGACATCTACGCCCTGTGCTCAGATGCCATGATGTGTGCTGTCAAACGCAAGGTGGAATGGATTGAGGAAGGTAGGAGCCCACACCCTGCCTGTCCCATGCGTTGGGAAGGCCCAGCACAGGGGTAGAGGGGAGAGTTACTGCTACTGGTAACTGGGCTTTGTGAGAAGAGGCTTGGCAGCTTTGAGTCTACGCCTGAGTGCTTGGCTCTGGGTTACTGGCAGGCAGGCAGTTTCTCCAGGTGTGATCATCTTCACCTCCAATGCTTGGCCCCGGGGGGAAGGAGACACAGGTTTTCCTTCCAGTCTCCAGTGGCTGGAGATGGGGGCTGTTGGATCTTGCCAGCCACCCCTGTGCTTGGCTCTCAGCCTTTTCCTGTTCTCTCTCATGCAGGGCTGGATACCGAGAGCTCTGCTCTGATCCTGACCATGGAAGACTTCCTGCAGGCTGCTGCGAGGTTGCAGCCATCAGTCTCTGAGCAGGAGCTGCTCAGGTACAGACTCATCCAGCAGAAGTTTGCTGCCTGCTAATGCTCAGCAGAGCTGGGACTGGAGGGGTGATGGGGACAGGGCGTTAAGGGGTGTGAGAGAACAGGCACAAACAGGCACCCACCTGCTCTTCTCTGATGTCTCCTGGACCCCCCTCTTGCGAGCTTGGGTGTAAAAGTGTCTGTGCTGTTTCTTGAGCCAAAGCCTGGTGGAAACGCTGCTGTGCACAGCCAAGCTGGTGGTGGGTTCTGTGATGGTCCCTCACATCTCAGGGAGCGCTTATGAGGAGGAAGCTGATTCACATGGTTGTGAGTGTCTCCATGGGTGACAGTGTTGGTGGGGGAGCAAGGCCCAAACTGCACCTGGTTTGGCAGCAAGAGTGAGGCTGGAGGCAGTTGCTTGTTGGGTTGTTGGCCCCAATGAGGAGTGCTGGCCGGAGGGCAACAGGACCCAGAGCACTGCTGCTGCAGCTGGCCTGGGTTTGACGTGATCCCTCTGAATAAATACAGGGTTTTGGCACTAGGTAGTCACTGCCTGGCCTCAGGTCTTTGCTTGCTGATGGTGTCTGTGGGCTTGGGAAGGTCCCTGCGATCCCCCGGGTGGGCTGGGTGTTGCAGGTGTCCTGCAGGTAGAGCGGGAAGCACACCTGCAAACAGGGCTGGGGTCACCCTCCTCCGGCAAAGGTTGCCAGAATGGCTGGAGCCCATGGCGGATGAGGAGGCAGAGGGAGTGGGATTTGCTCAGCTGGGAGCCGAGTTCCCTCTGCAGCGGGAGCCCAGTTCTTCCTGGAGGTGCTGGGTGACAGGACAAGAGGCAATGGGGGCAAGTGGTAGCAAGGGAGATTTCCCACAGGATACTAGAAAACTTGTCACACACTCTGGCCTTGGAAATATTCAACCCTTGGCTGGAGCAGCCCATAACTGCCCTGTTTGCACTAATCTGTGCTGAGTGCGAGTTGGCCCAGACCGCACTGAAGTCCTGCCTCGCGTTCCTCTGCAGCCTCATGGCAGCTGCCAGCATGATCGCATGTGCGCTGCTTCCCAGCCTTTGCCAAGGATGCCAAATAAATCCCCGCTTGAGCTGCGTGTGGCAGCA